CCCCCCAGCTTCCAGTGTTCTGTTACTGAGGGAATCACAACACGTACCTTTGTGTCCAATCACATCTGCTAAATTATGTTCTGCATGAGTTGGTCTCTATGCCTCTTAACCTTCCTGAGCTTTCTTCATCCTTATATAGGAAAAAGGGGATTAATGAATAGTATACAAGAATAACGAAGAATAATTGAAAAAGCACTTCATTTTCTTCTTCCATAACTACTTGCAAATTTCATTTGATGCCTCTTTGGCAACTGTATTATAAAGAAAGAGTGAGTAGCTTTTCCTTAATTTTTCACGCAATTCAGTTATAGCACAAAGGCAACAGGTTGTAATGCTGCAATGTTAAGGGTAGGCCTGAGGTCCTCTCAAGAGTAGAAGGTCAAAATGAACTGGGAAGCCACATTTGCAGCCCCAGCCACAAATAAAGGGGAAAAAACCTGCATAGGAAAGGGCAAGAAAGATTATGCATATCAGCAAATTTGGACTCAGTGGGGATGAGAAACTGTTCAGCTCTCATGGATATATTCCTACAACTTTTTGAAAAGATATACCAGAAAAGGGATCTGAAACTATTATCCCTGTTTGGAAAAAGAAATGCAAATACCGAAGGTTAATATCAAAATTATCAGATTACCAGTAAAAAAAATCTCATCAATAAATACATCTTATCCCACAGCAACTGTGAAAGACAAGCAAACAGCAAAACTTATCTTGCTTCTTAGCATATGAATGCTCTTAGATAAAATTCTCATCTAAAAACAATTTGAAATAGTTTTCATACCAGCCTCCCAGCCTGCACAGGATTTAGGGTCTGACAAATGATGTAGTAGTAGCATATTCTGACTAAAGCATTTCTGCACATGTTAAATGATCTTCAGTGCATACCTTCAAAAAGTGATGGAATACCAGAACTACAGACTTATCTTTCAATATTTTCTCTTCATTTAAAACAGATCTTCATACTAAAGATCCTGCAAAAATCTCATCCAGTGAGGCATTTTCTGAATAATTTGAAACCATACTAAAAGTACCTTCATAGCTTTATATGGTTCAAATACCAATTGTTAGTGATAAGCATGTAATTATTTTTTATTTTATTTTATTTAACTTGAGCTACTGTCCAGTTGCATAAACTGGAAAAATAATATAAAAATTATGATAATTTCTTGTCATTCTGTTTTGTAATTTTTAATATATGAATTCTCAAGACAGGGCTTTTTCCTCTTTGCATGCACCTAAATATTCACACAATACTAGTGTCCTGGTTCAGCTAGGATAGGGTTAAGTTTCTCCCAAGCAGGGGGAAGGAATCTCCAGCCAGGTTATTCATACCATGCTGATGTCAGGTCCAACGTGGTGAGGGAAGCTTTCCTTTGTGACTTTGGTCGCAGAAAGCATGGGGCTGTCTGTATCCATTGCGGCATTTCTCTGTATATCTTTTGTCTTGTTTACTGTTATTGCTGTTTATTGTTGTTGTTATTGCTATTGTTGTTGTTCAGATTGTTATTTAGTATACTGTTGTATTAAATTTCTCCTTATTTCTACCCCAGGGTTTGTGCCCTACTCGGTACGAGGGTGGGGGAGGGACAATGGCAACGTGGTCTCCGGTCCCGGCAGGGCTTAAACCACCACAACCAGAAATACATACTAATTTTCAAAAAAAAGTCAGATCCGGTGGCATACATGTTAAATATTAACAAGGTCATCTACTTTTAAACCTTTTTTCTCGTCACTGTGGAGCTGACACATCTGTGCTCTTCATAGTCCCTGAGAAGGACATCTGGACATCCTTCTGAGAAGACATCAAAACCCACCAATGGTTTGAGGTTTGGGAAGATCAGTTCTCAGCATGGTCAGGTCAGAAACTTGGGTTCTTGTGAAGTTTGGGGTGGAGTAGACTAATTCAGGGGAGAGAAGGCATAAAGTTGCTTTGGCATGGCAGTGCTAGAAATTATCCTATCTTGTCTGTATATTTTGGGTTGCAGAGATATCCACTATAGAGCAGTTCCAGATGCTGGAATTTTCTGTAACTGCAGTGTGGTGCAGGGATCTCAGAGTATACCATACCTCGATTCCCTTTCATCCCTTTTAAGTCAGGCCTTTTCTGCTATTCCTTTTGACCTTACATGAGAAAGCTGCATGCTGAGCATGAACTGTAAATATCTTGAACTATTATATTAAAAAAAGTACACATTGGCAAGGCAAGTGAGAGGAGGATGGTGAAACCAAAAGCAGGAAGAAAGAGGATTCAAACTCCCAGCAGGATGGAAATTTGTCACTCCAGCTCCACCTGCAGCCGTTGCCAAGAGAAAAGATTCAGGGTTCTGCTAAATGACGGGGAAGAGAGGAGAGACATCAGGCAGCATGACCAGGGTCTTCAGGCTGAGACCAGAACTATGAAGAGGACAGCCACAGTCAGTGGTCGCCAATTACAGCATTTGTGGGGAAGATGCACCTGTTTTCCAACAAAGGAGGTTTGCTGCACCCACCCCTCTGCCAACTCCCCATGTGGGCATCATGAGTGGGAGAGACAACTTAATGATAGATGAACAGGATAGATGAACAGGAAAGACCAAAGTACTCTGTGATTTTTTAGTCTCAGTCAAACTCTGCTCCCAGACCTCTCCATGTGCCAGCACAGTTTCTGGACAGACAGACAGCAGTGGGAGAGCAACAGGTTAGGGAATACTTTTATGAGATGGATGTTTTCAATGCCAGCGTTCCGTATGAGACACACTTAAGAGTACTAATAGATGTATGATGTGATTGCAAACAGACTGTTTATTGATTGTGAAAAATCATGACAGTTACAATGAGTTAACTGAAGTTAACTGAGCATTATCACAGTTCTAATTTTTTCCCTAAAACAAATATAGGTATTTGCTGAACAGCCAATATTGAATTGATCACACTTTGCATATATATTTTTTATTTATATAAAATAGAAACCCCTGGCACCTTTTAAACTTTTGGTAATTCGCACATTATCCTTAACCAATGAGTCAGTACTCAGCAATAGGAAAATCTAACAGCTGCAAGATGGTGAAGAGACTTTGTTTTCCTAAGTAAATAGTCAACATCTCTAAAATAAATACTTACATATGTTAGAAATATTTGGGTTTAAGTTTTTGGTCAATTTACTAGACAACAGATACTGTGCTGTTAATGGACGTACTTTGCTTTACTTCTGAACTACTTTACAGAAACGTCTGTTCCATGGATTTTCGGCTCATAGCAGCTCTTTACCCTAATCATATACGACTGAAAAAGGAGCAAGATTTTTTGCAATTGTTTCAGTTTACTGAATTTTTATGATTTGCAGTTTTTACTGTTGGTCTAAGTCAGACTTGGTGTTCTGATTTTCACAAAATAATGGTGCCAAAATGTGAATTCTAAAGATCCACTTAACTTTTTTCTGCATGAATAGTCCTCTTCCTAATACCTTCTATTATTCTCACAAGTTTAAACATTCAGATCCAGATTCAGCTCCAGACTTTCTCAACTTACAGAGTGATCTGGGTCTTTACCTTTGTGCTTGTCACACCTACTTGTAAGTGTAGACTGTCTAGAAAACCTTTTTCCAGCCCATTAAAAAGTTCAAGAGTTTTCCATCACTGAACACCAGAGTAAATCCTAACACTCTTCAAGAATTTACATAAGAGATAAGTAGTACCTTTCCCCTTAAGGGAAAAGCACTTAAGGTTCTTACCAAAGTGGGAGATCTATCTTAGGATCTGCCTAATTTTCTCCAATAATTTTTACACTAAATTGATCCTGCCCAGACAGTATGGTTTGGTGAGTGTCTGGAGAAGCACACCTGTAAAAAGCACGTGTCAGCTTGCCAGTTTTGCCCTGCCTGACTTTAACTAGAAATGATGTGGATGGACTGACATTTGCTGTAGAAATACCTGATTTCCTACTGCTCAAACAATAAATAACAGACATAGATTTACATGAATTTAAAAGAATTTAGGGTTTCCATCCTAGTAAACGTTCTAGTATCTCAATCAGTTTAATATCTCGATAAACACAAGAACAGTTTGCAGACTAGCTCCTTAGACAAACATCTTTTTAGGTTGAATATAAAATCCATACTGATGTTCCACTGTTACTTTTCAGCATTTTCAAGAATTGAACACAGATTATATAAACTTTAATGTATCTAATAAACACAAACTAGCTCCAAAACTTCCCATTTTTACAAAATTGAAAACTGATCTCTTTGAGAAGTTCTACGTCTCAAGCCCCACTGAGATACTTAATTTGAAAGTCTAAGACAATGAAGTTGCCTCCCTGTTTTTTTTTTTCAGAAATCTATTTCAACAATAACCACCTAGAAAAACTATTTTTCTGTTACTCTTTGATCCTCTATCACTTCTTTAGCAAGTGCTCATATCTAAAATCCTTTTCCTAAAGTAAAAGTTGTTCTTGATTAATTGAAAAGGATGGGGACTCTGCAGGTTTTCCTATGAATAAGCACAGACAAGAAATTATTACATTCACTTCCCACTTTGTAAGTGATTTAGAAAACTGAATTTAGGATCACAGACATTCAATTGCCTTCAACAGACTGCAGAACATCCAGAATGAAATCTGTGTCAGATTCCACTCTTTAGCCCAAGGAAACTACAAAAACTGGTATCTGAAAACAGCTTGGTGATTTACAAGAATCTAAGTGCACAAGTATAGACTTAATACTGATATTGAGTAGTAACAGTTAATCAAATGACAAACATGTATATCTAATCTCTGAGCTTTGTAGTGCTGAGTTTTCCATGGCCAATTTGCTGCTCCCAGGTAAAGAGTGGATTACAGAGAATGCTTGATGAATGTTACTGATGGAATTGTCTTACAATATGAAGGAATAATCACCATATTAAAAAACACACTATACTCAGAGAAGTACTCTGATCTATTCTAGATATTTTAACTGAGCATGAGTAGTGCCAACTGAAATGGCTAGGGCTGTATATTGTCAGTAGTATTCATCCTGTGCAGAGAATGAATATTAAGAGAGGGTTTTCCCCCACCGGAGGTTTCAAACCAAATTAATACAAAGCTGAAGATTTCATTTCTTCTCGGGTATTTTAATCAATTACTGGGAAGGAGGGAAAGACAGAAATATATTAATGGACATGGACATTGTCAGGCTCTTCCTAGACAGACCTCTCCAATCATATTTTTGCTGAAATTTACCACTGATGAATTTGCTAGAAAGAAATGTTTTCTGATTATAGACTGAGGACAGTTTTGGAGACTGGACTATGTGCTATCTCTATACTACTTTATGACCCTTTAATAGGCATCCACAGTTCTTTACAGACAGTCATTGCTTAAGATAGCAATGATTTAAAACTATCATCTGTAAGGCCAAACAGATAGTATGTTATTTTCAAAACGATGAAGCAGAGATCAAAATGATGAAAGACCACTGAAAAAAAAATCATTATTGTAGACACAGGCATATATGGTTATGAAATTACTCAGGGTGTGCTATTGGTTACCTCATATATTGGAACAGAACTGAGAATAAAAAGACAGTCCCAGCATTATGTCCTAGTAAAGTGAAAGAGAAAAGGTAGCTGCATTTTTGGTTTCCAAGCCAGCTTTAGGAATTACAAAGCATTTCTTCCAAGAAATCTCTAAGAATGACCACCAGGATAGCTAGGTTCATTTCAACACTCGTTATTTGGCAGATTTCATCTTTACACTGCCTGTCTGAAATCATCACAGAAGTCACAGATGTATTTCAGCACAGATCAAAGACAAGATATAATTCTACCACTACTAAAAGCAAAGTATTTGTCTACAATCAAAGAATAAAACAACAGTGTAGCAAGATCATTTTTAGCCTAGGGCTTATGTTTATGTTTCAAACTTAATAATCTTTTTCACTTTGGCCTTGCAAAGGGCAATAGCTCAACACTGACAAACATCACCCACAGAAAAACTTCATGCAACCATGCCTGGCTCCCAGTCACAAGTCAGCAGCATTACCCTGGAAAGGGTATAGAAATGATGTAAATAGACAATGGTAACTCCTCTGTACTTTTTGCAAATTCACAATGACCTATACATCAAGGATTTCCTGAGCCAGAAGTGATCTTTTGTATGAAATAATATTCCTGGACTGACATTTTCCATGAGTTTGTATATTTGCTTTTTAGAGTTCTGAAAGCTTCTGACACCTACTTTTTAGTGTGGCCAACCATCCCCTGGCTGACCTACACATGGTATGAGAAGTTACCGTCTTCTGTCTGTTCTGAAACTGAGACCTGATCATTCCCCCTAATAACTTCTCATTCTTTTATGAGAAGAAAGGACCATGAATCCTCCTACCTTATTTATCTTCTCTGCTCTACCCTTCATGTCCAGATCAGTCCTAGGTGGGGCAGGTCTGTTCAGTCATTTTTCTCATTTGAAAGATATTTCATACTACTGATCAGCTTTCTTGCCTTCTCAGCACCTTTTCTGGTTCTCCTATACACTTCTTGTATTAGATGAAGTACAGCTACACACAGGATTTGCAGTTTGAAATACAGATTTGGCCACTAAAGTCGTCTTATTTTTCTTTCCTTCAGCTCTTTTTGTAACAATTCCTTAGTTTGCTTCACCTGCTACCAAACATTAAGCTGAAGTTTTTGCAGATACATTAGATCTCCAAGATCTCTTTCCAGAGTGGTGACAGCCAGTTCAGAGATCATCACTGTGCCTGTAAAATGAGGATTGGTTGTCTCTCATATACATCACCTTGTGTCTATCAGCATTGTCTTTCTAGTGTGACTTCATCACATATTCATCCAGTACTCTGAAATTCCTTCCCAGCTCTTTCCTGTCAGCTTTTAGTTTCTCATCAG